GCCGCGCGCGCCGCCGCGGCCGGGCGCCTGCGGGCGCGGCCGGGCCGCGGGGCGCTCACGGCGCGGGCGGGCCCCCCGCAAGCGGGCGGCATGGGGATGGCTGGCCAGCTCCCCCGCCACGTTCTGCCGGTCGGACAACACCCCAGCCGGAAACACCCGACCACCGACAGAACGGACAGGGGCCAGGCCAGACTCCCGGTCGAGACTGCTTCCCGTTTTACCTTGGACAGGGGCGCTACTCTTTCTCTCATCGGCGCCGCCCCCCAGCAACAACAACGCTCCCGCTCGAGACGACGTCCGTTTTTTGCTCAAGGCGGTGCTTTTGTTGCTTGCCGCCGAGAGCCCCCGTCGCGACAAAACCAGCGCTCCCTCCCGAGACTTCCTCCCGTTTTACGCTGGACTGGCGCCCGTTTCTCCTCCCCTTCCTCCTCCCTCCTCCTCCTCCTCCTCCTCCACCCCCTCCTCTTCCTCCCTCCTCCGTCCTTTTTTCCTCCCTCCTCCTCGCTCCCCCCTTCTCCCCCCTCCTCGCTGCCCCCTTCTCCCCCCTCCTCCTCGTCGTCCTCCCTCCTCTTCCTCCTCCTCCTCCTTCCTCCTCCTCCCCCTCCTCCTCCTCCTCCTCCTCCTCCTCCTCCTCCTCCTCCTCCTCCTTCTCCTCCCTCCTCTTCCTCCTCCTCCTCCTCCTCCCTCCTTCCCCCTCTTTCTTCCTCCCTCTTCCTCCCTCTTCCTCCCTCCACCCCTCCTCTTCTCCCTCCTCCCTCCTCCCTCTCCCGTCCGTTTTTCTTCCCTCCTCCTCCCTCCTCCTCCCTCCTCCCTGCCCTTTTCGTTCCCCTTGTCTCCTCCCACCTCCTGCCTCCTTCCTCCCTCCTCCCTCATCCCTTCCCCTTCCGTTCTCCCTCGTCGCTCCCGTGTGCTACTCCCTCACCTTTCACTCATGACTGGGGCCCTCGTTTCGGCATCGACTCTGGTGGACTTCCACGAGTCCTTGTTGAACCTTCGTTACTACATAGCGATCATTTGTTGGTGAGCATCGATAATATGGAGGAGGAGGATATGAAGCAGGACGGATGACTTCCAGGGGCTCCAATGATCGAGGGCCGAAGGATTGACTCCAGGGATTTCTTGGCAGGGTGTGAAGTGCAGGTGGAGAATGCGATCATGGGAGCGGCAGCGCCTGGGGGCGTTAACTTTCAGGGTCACGCGCCGAGGCCGCAGGATGGTGGCGCAACAGTTCGAACGAGGAGTAAAAAGCACCTCGTCTTCGGAGGCACTGCTACTACAACTACTCATCCTTCCTCCCCCTCCTCCTCCATCCCCCTCCACCTCCTCCTCCTCCTCCTCCTCGTCCTCCTCGTCCTCCTCCTCCTCCTCCTCCTCCTCCTCTCCCTCTTCAACTCATCTTCCCTCCCCTCCTCGTCCTCTTCCTCATTCGAGATGCGGGGCTTGAGCAAGGCGATTGCGATGGCGACTTGCCGTCCGAGCTGCGGTTGTCGAAGTTCCTCGGGAGAGGTGGCGGCAATGCTGTCTTGGGCGGGAGATCTGGATAAGGGAATATCGGACCCCGCGTGCCAGAACAATTCCCCATGATGGGACGCGGTATCCATGGGGACGCCTGTCACATGTGGAAGCGTGGCGCGTGATGGTAAAATGATTGTTGTCGTTGTCGTCGTTGAAATCGCACTATTGAAGAAGAATTGATGTCGACCCCTCCTCCTGTGCACCTCTTATTTCTTCAATTGACGTGCCCTTGCGGGCCCTCGCGCGTTTCTTACCAGGGGGAGTCTTCGTCCTCAATATGCGTCGTTGGCCGCCGGGCTACAACGACAACGGCTCCCGCCTGAGACTTCCTTGCGATTTAGCTAGGGCCCCCGCTCCCGCCCGAGACTTCCTCGCGTGTTGTTGAGGAATCGCTCTCTCGCTTGGGACTTCCATGTGATTTATCCGGGAATCGCTTTTCCGGCGCTCTGGAGTCGCGCTCTCGCTTGAGATTTACTGGCAACTTCCTAAAGAATAGCGCCCTTGCGTTGAAATTTCCAACAATTTATTCAAGGGCCGCGCTCCCGACGCTCAGGCACCCAGGAGCCGCGCACATTCTCGCTCCTTCATCGATCATCTAGGAATCGGTATCTCGCTGCCCTTCGTCGCCCCGCTGCAGCCCTTCGTGGCCCCCTTGCTTCCCTTCGTGGACCCGTTGTAGCCCTTCGTGGCCCCCTTCGTTGCCCTTCGTGGGCCCGTTGCTGCCCTTCCTGGCCCCGTTGCAGCCTTTCCTGGCCCCGTTGCAGCCCTTCGTGGCGCCCTCGCTGCCCTTCGTGGCCCCGTTGCAACCCTTCGTGGCCCCCTCGCTGCCCTTCGTGGCCCCGTTGCAACCCTTTGTCGCGCCCTCGCTTTGTTCCGCGGCCCCGTTACAGCCCTTCGTGGCCCCCTCGATGCCCATTCGTGGCTCCGTTGCAGGCCTTCGTGGCCCCCTTGCTGCCCTTCGTGGGCCCGTTGCAGCCCTGCGTGGCCCCCCCGCTGCCCTTCCAGCCCTTCGCGGCCTCCTCGCTGTCCTTCGTGGCCCCGTTGCAGCCTTTCGTGGCCCCGTTGCAGCCCTTCGTGGCCCCATATATGCATGCTCTTCGTGGCCCCCGCTCGTTCGCGGCCGTCGTGGCCCCAAATGCATGCCCTTTTGTGGCCCCGTCGTCGCCTTTCGTGGCCCCCTCGCTGCCTTCCGTGGCCCCGTTGCTGCCCTCAGTGGCCCCGTCCTTGCCCTCCGCGGCCCAATATACGTATGCCCTTCGCCGTCGCCGCTGCCTCCTCCGCCTCCGCCGTCGCCTCCGCCGCCGCCGCCGCCGCCGCCGTCGTCGCCGCCGCCGCCGGCCCCAGAGGAGCCAAGCTGGGGCGCGTCCGGGTCGGCGGAGGAGCTCACCGCCGCGGCGCGCGCCCATGTGCGGAGCCGCCGCGCGCCCGTGGTGCAGCGGCTCGTGGCGCCCCCGCGGGGGGGCACGAAACGAGCCTCGGACAGTCGAGCGCGCTCCGAGGGTCAGGCGATTGCAAACATGGAGCAAAGGGGCGTGGATCTTAGTGGGCCCTGGAAACGACAGGGCAGTTTTTTTACCGGTTCCGTTTTGCCGTTTTTTTGCCGGTTCCGACGCCGTTTTGTTACCGGTTCCGTCGCCGTTTGTTTGACCGGTTCCGGCTCCAGTTCCAATCCTGGAGCCGTTTTTGTTGCTGTTTCCGGTCGCCGTTTTTTGCCGTTTCCATTCTCAGAGGACATTTTTCTGGAAACGGTGAAAAAACGGCCCTGCCGTTTCCGGGGCCCACAAAGGCGTGGATTAGCGACGGATCCTGCTTCCATGGGGAATCGCGGATTTCCACCGGCGAGCGAGGCGGCACCCGCCGCATCTTGGGGGAGGGCACCTCCCACACGATCCATGGATGTGGCGACCGCGCGCCACATTGATGGATCGCCAATCCTTGTTTGCGCCCCCGAGGGGGACGGCCCGCTCCACCTCCGGCCATGCCCGGGCGGGGCTTGGACCGGCCCACATCGTTTCTGAGCTTGCTGGGATTATGTGGGAGCGTTCTGGAGCGCTCAAGAACGGCCGCAGCGCCCGATTCCAGGCCTCCTGGATGGGGTCCGAGTAGATGGGGTCGGAGGATCGCGCCGCATCGCTGATACATCGGCGATGCGGCTCGATGCGGAGCCCGATTTTCTCCACGCCGACGTCGCCGATGCGTCGCCGACGTCGGCGATGCAGCGCCGATGCATTAGCGAAGCGGCGCGATCCTCCGACCCCATCTGCTCGGACCCCATTTAGGAGGCCCCTAGTTCTGGGACGCTGTGAGAGCGTTCTGGAGCGCTCTGGAACGGCCGCAGCGCCCGACACATCCTCCAGAACCGCTGGTCCCCCGAGAGTTCCGCTGCATGCCGGTCGGCCTCGCCTTGCACTCCCCGCGTGCTGCAGTGGCGATCCACGCCAAGAAGCATCCTGCCTGCCGCCAGGGTGCCCTGGCTTTCTGGGTTTCGATGGTTTTGCCATGGAAAGCGTGACGTTCCCACGCGAAGCTAAGCATGAATGGACGCCTTGGGGTCTCGGGGTTGGGTTTCTTGCCGGCTAAGGAGGAGGAAGAGGATGATGAGGAGAATGATGATGAGGAAGAGAAGGAGGAAATAAATGAGGAGGAGGAGGAGGAACCGGAGGGGGAGGAGGAGAAGGAGGAGGAGATGGAGAACGAGGGGGAGGAGGAGGAGGAGGAGGAGAGGAGGAGGAGGAGGAGGAGGAGGAGGAGGAGGACGACGACGACGAGGAGGAGGAGGAGGAGAAGGAGGAGGAGGAGGAGGATGTAGAGGAAGAGTAGGAGGAGGAGGAGGAGGAGGAGGATGAGGAGGAGGAGGAGGAGGAGGAGGAGGAGGAGGAGGTAGAGGAGGAGGTAGAGGAGGCGGCGGAGGAGGAGGAGGGGGATGAAGGACATGTGTCCCGACAGCCCGAAGGATAATTGGTATCAGTGGTCAGTGCCAGCCCGATGCGCTTCAGGGCTGCACTGAGAGATGCCCGGCAGGGACGTGGGTTTAATGAGGTGAGGTCTTGGGCTACAGCCCGTCGGATGGGTGAGGCGACTGCCACACTGTCCTGCCATATGTGTCCGTACACATGCAGCTCGAGGCAGACATTCTCCACGCATGTTTTATGAGTACTTGGTGTACGGCAATGCGCCCGTGATCTCATCGATACAACACTGCCCGGCGTGTGTGCAGTGTTTGTTCCAAACTCGCGTGCGAGTGGTTGAGGGATGATGTCGTCGCCGAAGCCGATCGACAGGATGCAAAGGACGCCCGCGAACGAGCCAGAAAGGGCCAGAGGCCGCATCACGCTGACCACTGACCTCTGAAGCGTTTGCGAGTATTCCCCCTCTTGCTTTCCTCTGTCTCCGATGGGCCAGGAGGCGCAGTTGCAGCAACGACGCCCTCTTGAGCGAGGTCGATGCACGACCTGTCCTTCTCCTTGTCGCCTGCCGCGCATCTAACACCCACCGCGCGCACGTTGCAAGCTGCTCGGGCACGAAACCACAAAAAGGCGGACGTGCACCCCAGGCCCCTCGGGACTGGGGGCCCCCGGTGCGAGGGGGAGGGGGAGGAGGGGGGGGAGGAGTGGAGGAGGAGGAGGAGGAGGAGGAGGAGGAGGAGCAGGAGCTAATTGTCTAGCTTCGGCCTCCTCACTTGGGTCGCCTCCAAACGGATTGGGGTTCCTTTTATTGTTAACCAGGCGAGACTCGAAGACGCTCTGCCGAGCGTGCGCGCGAGAGCCAGGGGCACCTCTCCCGGCGGGCGTGTTCCACCCTTCGGACTGGGCACACTGCCTCTGCTCCATGACGCCGCTCTCCGCTCCCCAGCCGCGGGAGAGCTCAAGCTTGCTGATTCAACGATTGGGTTCGTTCTGGTTTTCGTTATAAGTGCCAACATAATACATAAGAAAACAAAAAAAAAGCGAGGAGGAGGGGGAGGAGAAGGAGGAGGAGGAGGAGGAGGAGGAGGAGCAGGAGGAGCAGCAGGAGGAGGAGAGGAGGAGGAGGGAGGAGGAGGAGGAGGAGGGGAGGAGGAGGAGGAGGAGGGGAGGAGGAGGAGGAGGAGGAGGAAGGAGGAGGGGGGAGGGGGGAGGAGGAGGAGGAGGGCATGTGTCCCGGGCTCGCCGGGGCCCGGGGCCCCTCGCGAGCCCGCGGGGTGCGCTTGCGCGGGGGGCCGCGGCCTCGGCCGCGGACGGAGAGACGCCCCGAGCTCCAGCTCTCGGCTGCCTGGCGGTGGGCCAGGGGGGTGGAGGGCGAGCTGGGGGGAGGAGTAAAACGACGCGAAGATCGGGACAACATCGGATCGGGAGAACTGGAAATCTCTGAGAGTCGGCGGCTTGGGAGGATGTATGGGGCGCCGCGGCCGCTCCAGAGCGTTTTCCGGAACGCTCCGAGAGCGCTCCAGAACGCTCTGGAGCGATTTATCCCGGTCCTAGCCCTGTTTTAAGGAGGGTGGGCACAGGGAGCATTCACCACCTACCAAACCACCCCAACCCAACCCGAAGGCTCAGATTTACCCTCGATTTCCAGTGGGGGGGGGGTTCGGGAAACATAGAAAAAACACGTATGGAACCCTTACCCCCCCCAACCCGAAATTCGGGTCTTCGGGTTGGGTTGGGGTGGTCTGGTAGGTAGTCATGCATCGGCCTGCCTCTCCGGGGAGGCAGGTCCGAAGGCAGACGAGGGGGGGAGGCACGGACGCGCCGGCCTCCGCCGCGGGGCTCGCACGCGGGCAGGGCGGGCCCGGCATGCGCCAGCAGAGCGGGGCCTCTCGTGAACACCTCCGGCGACGGCATGGCATTCAACAGCGTCTTCGACAGCATCACGCTCAACTCAGGAGGAAAAGAAACACACAGACACAATTAATCCTCGATTCCCCCCAAAATATGGGAAAATATGGGAAGTGGGGGGGAAGACAAAAACCCAGAAAATATGGAAAAATATAGGGAATATCTTTATTTGTGTGTATTTATTTGTGTGTCCTGGGGCCCCTTCATCAACATAGTTGTCAGACGGCAAATTCTGCGAAGCCTGTCAGGTGGGTGATCAACGCCAGCTGGGGGCCCACAGCTGTTGAATCCCCCAGCTCGGAGTAGAGTCGGGAAGAGCGCTGGACAGACGGGAGGAGGATGTGAGGAGGATGGCTGGGAGCAGGATGGAAAGGGTAAGCCTTTTTTGATTATACCAGCCTCGGGAGCGTTGTTCAAAGCGTCAAGTAGGAAACTCTTCCTCCTCCTCCTCCTTCTCCTTCTCCTCCTTCTCCTCCTCCTCCGTTCTTGCGATTCGGGGGCCTGCAGCCACGCCTAAGCGCGACTATGCAGACGGGTGACGGCGGTGCCCAGGAATCGGGGAACACACATTGACATGAACATGCGCTTTCGGAGGTCCGTGTGGATTTCTCGGAACGGCATTGGATCCCCCTCCCTGGCGCGCGGAACGCGCCAGGGAGGGGGATCCAATGCCGCATGTGGTGTAGGTGGTCTGCCTTTCGCCGTTGACGGCGAAGAAGTCCTCCTCCTCCTCCTCCTCCTCCTCCTCCTCCTCCCCCGCAGGGGACGGCGTCCACGGCGACGGCGCCGACGACGGGGCCGACGGACCGAGACGACGGGCGGAGGCGACGACGACCCTGGTGACGGCGACGGCGACAGCGGCGACAGCGGCGGCAGCGGCGACGACGACGGGGCGGCCCTCGACGACGACGGCGGCGGCAGCGGCGGGCCAGGCGCTGGCGGAGACGTACGACGGCCGCGGCGTGGAGACGCTCTTCGCCTCCCTGCCGGCGTCGCGCTCGCGCAGGTACGGCTTCGGGGAGCTGGCGCGAAGGCCCTGGGGCGACAGCGGCGGCGGCGGCAGAGACGGCATTGGGAGGAGGAGGTGGTGGTGGTGGTCACTGCATAAGGGAAACAGCATCCCGAGCAGAGCAACACGCACCACGACCACGACGACGCCGACGCCGACGACGACGACGGAGACGAGGCGCGCAAACGATCCGCACCGAAGCACGGATTTGGGAAAGGGCCCACCCTGCAGGTTCGGTTGAACAGCACATCGTTGAGCGGTGCTGCAGCCTCCCCTGAGCACAGGCCCCCCCAGAGCATCAGCCAGACAAGTCGGGTTTGCACCCTCATGCCTTGCTGGACTCTGGGCGAGGAGGAGAGGAGGAGGAGAAGGAGGAGAAGGAGGAGAAGGAGGAGGAGGGGAGGGGGAGAAGCAATATGAAGAGCATGATGATCACGTGGGGGGAGACTGGGGAGGGTTGGTGGGGCAGGACGGTCAGGGGGAAAGGAGGGATGGGAAGTCGTGGGATTGAGGAGGAGGTGGAGGAGGAGGAGGCGGAGGATTAGCGGACAAGGCGGAGAGGGGGTGGCGTTGCGTTGGTGCGGGGAACAAGAAGAAGCAGGGATAGGAGAAGGATGCTCAACAGGAGAACTACGAAGAGGAGGACCAACATCAACATAATTAATTGGGAGGGAGAGGAGGAGGAGGAGGAGGAGGAGGAGGAGGAGGAGAGGAGGAAGGAGGAGGGGGAGAGGAGGGGAGGAGGACGAGAGGAGGACGGGGGGAGGAGGGAGGAGGAGGAGGAGGAGGAGGAGGAGGAGGAGGAGGAGGAGAGGAGGAGGAGGAGGAGGAGGAGGAGGACGAGGTGCAGGGGCGCGAGGGCGAGAACTTGGAGGAGGACGAGGATGAGAGCGAGGACGTGGAAACAGGACGGCCTTGATGATGAGGACGGGCAAGGAAGGAACAAGACGATGGAGGAGCGAGGGGACGATACGAGGGGACGATACGTGGGCAGGAGGTGGTGGTAAAATGCAGCGCCGCCCTGGAGGCCTCCAGAGGCCCCCGGGAGGTTTCCACAGTGCTGGAGGAGGGGCAGGGGGAAGAGGGCGGCGAGCGAGGTGACGGACTCCCCTTGCCGAGCGGAGCTTGGCTCCTGCGACCGTGGTCGGGCCCTTGGAGGGAGGGCCCCAGGAGGCCCCCGAGGCCTGGGCAGGACAGCAGCGGCCCAAAAGCTTGGAGGACGCGAGGGTCCAGTCGTTCATCGTCCCCCTGCTCTTCGTCCTCCTCGTCCTGCTCCGCCTCCTCTCCTCCTCCTCCTCCTCCTCCTCCTCCTCCTCCTCCTCCTCCTCCCCCTTCTCCTCCTCTTCCTCCTCCTCCTCCCCCTTTTCACCCCATCCGATCTCTCCTCCTCGCCCTCCCTTTATCTCCTCGCCACCTTCGGAGGAGTTGAGGGAGGAGGAGGAGGAGGAGGTGGAGCAGGAGGAGGAGGAGGAGGAGGAGGAGGAGGAGGAGGAGGGAGGAGGAGGAGGGGAAGGAGGAGATGAACTTGGATTCACAAGGGAGGGGCCCGTGGACCGATTTCGATTCGTTTTGGCTGCATCACCCCTTTGGACTGATGTTCTAGGGCCCCGTCCACCGCAGACCCTCTGACCGCCTCCAAGTCGGACCGAGCTGTGTGGACAGGCACCTTGTCGTTAGCCATTCGTTGATCGATTGGTCGATTGATCAGCGTCACCCCAACATATTGATCATGTGCGTGCGTCCCCCCCCCCTCCCCAAGGGCGACGCGCGCGCCAAGACATCCGATAACACATGCGCCGTGGCGGACGCTCTCTAGCCGTCACCGCTCGGGGAGCGATCTATTGCACAGCATTGTGCTGTATGCTCGGGTCGGTTGCACGCCTCCGAGGAGGACCCATGCTACCAGTATGTCCCACGCCCTCCTAGATGGGGTCCGAGGAGATGGTGTCCGAGGATCGCGCCGCATCGACGACTTGGCTCGATGTGGAGCCCGTGTTTCCCCACGCCGACGCCGCCGATGCATCGCCGATGTATCGCCGATGCGTCGGCGATGCACTGGCGATGTGGCGCGATCCTTCGACCCCACCTACTCGGACCCCATCTACGAGACATCTAATGTCGGCGGCGAGCGAGGGGGGGAGATGAGAAGGAGAAGGGCTTCTCGGAAGGCGGCGGGACCTCTCAAAGGGCCCCGCGCCTTCTGAGAAGTCTTCTGTGACTTCGTGGAAGGCTTGGCAAACTTGTCAGGCGCGCTGCCCATAATGCCCCTGTGCGTCCCAGACTTAGTCTTCACCCTCGACCCCTTCCAGCAGGGGGAGCCGCCCGCCAGGCTGCGGGAGGAGCTCGGGGAGCCGCTGCCCCGCGCGCCCCGGGCCGCCGAGGGCGAGGGGTCCGAGCAGGACTCGCCGCCGCCCTCGCCGCCGCCGCCCTCCGCCCTCCTCTGGGGGGTGCGGGGAATCGGCAGGGAGGGGCGGAGCGACCTGAGGAGGGGAGGGGAGGGAGGTGGAGGAGGAGGAGGAGGAGGAGGAGGCCTCCTTCGACGACGACGACGACGACGACGTTCGACTCTCGACGTTCGTCGTCGACGACGAGTAAGTCGGGCATGTTTCTCTACAGGAGTATTCAAGGCATGCAAACACAGTGCGGCAACGAATTGTTTTTGTTTTTGTTCGGGGGGGGAGGGGGACTACTCCTGAGTATTGTAATGATTAGTTGTCATGTTTCTTTCGGAGTCCGCCTGTAGGGGGACCTGCCCGACCTAACACGACCCCGACGACGACGACGACGACGACGACGACGTTCGACGTTCGACGTTCGACGTTCGACGTTCGACGTTCGACGTTCGATGTTCGTCGTCGACGACGGCTCGCCGCCGCCGCCGCCGTCCTCCTTCGACGACGGCGACGTTCGACGGCCGCCGTCGACGACGGTCGGCAGCAACGACGGCTCGCCTTCGCTGCCGCCGCCAGCCCTCGCTCGACGACGACGGAGTTGGTCATCGACGGCGGCGCGTCCTCGCTGCCGCCGCCGCCGTCGTCAGAGGGCGGGGCCAGGCGTACCCCAGACCAGGCGTACCTTGCAGAGGGCCGGGGTCCACTTAAACGGTGCTTTTGCGATTTCGTGGGCCGTGTTCGTTGCGATGTTTTTTTTGCGGCACAGGCGGATGGAAGACGAGACGAGGGACAACGACCACACAGCGACCACGGCAAACACTGTTCAGGCCGATCCCTGCGAAACGAACAGGCGAACACGAGAACAACACGAGCAACGAAAGACGAGACTGAAAAGCAAACCGAACACGACAACGAAGAACACTGAGAACAACACGAACAACGAACGACGACACCGAAGAACACACCGAGCACGAACACGAAGAGAATACTGTTTAGGGCCCCACCTCGGGACGCCCACAGGCCGGATGCTGGCGCACGCCGTGGCTGGACCCCCGGGGGGGTGGCCCCCGCGTGACTCGCCTCACCGGGGCTGGCCATTTTGCGGCACGCCGTGCTGTGGGCGCGCCCTGGGCCTTCCCCGTCCCGCGTCCGACGACGGCGTCAGGAGGCGGCCGGGGCGAGGGAGGAGGAGGGGGAGGAGGAGGGAGGGAGGAGGAGGCGGAGGCGGAGGAGGCGGAGGAGGAGGAGGAGGAGGAGGATGCGGAGGAGGAGGAGGCGGAGGCGGAGGAGGAGGAGGAGGCGGCGGAGGAGGAGGGCGGGCAGCCCTGGAAGGCGGCAGGGCTGCAGCAGCAGGGGGGGGCTCCTCGGCAGGGCTCCCTCGGTGGGAGGGGGGGGCTCCGGAGGCAGGGGAGGGGTCTGCGAGGGGGTCTCGGAGGTCTGAGAGAGGCTGGGAGGACTCGCCGCCGCCGGCGTCCTCTTTCGACGACGGCGGTGACGAGGAGGGGGACGATGGTGGTGATGCTGATGCTGATGGTGCTGATGCTGATGCTGCTGATGCTGATGCTGGTGGTGATGCTGACGATAACAGTGATAATGATGTTGACGACGATGATGATGGTGATTATAATGCTGGTGATGCTGATGCTTGAGAACATGAGGATGATGATGACGAGCGGGATGATGATGAGACTGATGATGATGCTCATGCTGATGCTGATGATGATGCTGATGATGATGTTGATTATGACGCTGATGCTGATGCTGATCTGCTGTTGATGATGATCTCATGGTGATGGTGGTTGTGGTGATGCTGATGCCGGCGATGACGATAATGGACATTAAGATGATTACGTTGATGGTAATGGTGATTATGAGGATGATTATGCTGCTGTTGTTGGTGATTATTATGATGACGTTGGCGATGACTGCGACAGCGACTACGACGAAGACGCAGACGACGACGACGACGACGACGACGCCGAGGCCGACGCCAACGCCGACGACGACGCCGCCGCCGACGCCGTCACCGTTTCGATGGTGGGGGTTGGTGTGGGGTTCTGGGCGTTCCCGGAGGCTCTCGTGGGCCGCTGCCGGACGCAACCCGACCAGCGGGGTCCCGTCGCCGTTGCCGTCGCCGCTGCCGTCGTCGCTCCACCCTCGTCGCCGTGTGTTTGCTGGTTGGGCTTGAAGTGTTCTTGTTGTTCACTCAGGCTCAGCAGAGTCCCCGGAAGATCTGGGAAGACCGAGTCCCCACATGCAGCGTTCGACCTCGAATATGACACACTCTGGTTCCAACCTCCACTCCACGACCTCGGGCGCCAACAACCCGAGGTCCACTCCAGCCCTCGCTTTTAGCGTAGCGTGCCGCGCTGGCGGCCCGCGCAAGCCTCTGCGTAATGTCGCTATGTCGTCTCGCTGAAGACCCGTTCTTGATCTTCGCTCACGTGGCAGAGAGTTTAACGGCGAGTTGATTCAAGATGTGATGGGAGATGACAGAACACGGACAACATGCTCTGAGGGCTCGGGCCCTACCCACCCCGCACAGGCCCTGAAGGGCCCCGCTCCCGGTGGTACCGCGCGGCCGCCTTGCCTCGCCTCGCCTGGCTCTCACCGCCCGCCGACTCCAAAGCGGCGCCCCTCCGAGCTCGTCCCCGGAGGCCTTCGCGGCGGAGGTCTTGACTCCGCCTCCTCCGCCTCCGCCTCATTTGTGTCCTCTGCCCTCCAGCGCCGCCTCCTCCTCCTCCTGCTCCTGCTCCTCCTCCTCCTCCTCATCCTCCTCCTCCTCCTCCTCCTCCTGCTCCACCTCCTCCTCCTCCTCCTCCCTCAACTCCTCCTCCTCATCCTCCTCCTCCTCCTCATTCTACTCCTCCTTCTCCTGCTCCTGCTCCTTCTCCTCCTCCACTTCCTCCTGTTCTCACAGGTTTCCAGCGGTTTCGGCAGTTTCCGAGGGCTCCCGGAGGTTTGTCCCCAACGCCGTCGTTGTCGTCGTCTTCGAGGGGTGAAGTCTCGACGGTTCTGATCTTTGGGGCGTCCTGTTGATTTCCTGAGCCTCCCCGGCTGTCCTCGTGGCCACGGGTGGCTCTCCCTCCAATTTCTGGTCGGGCTGAGGTCGTTGTCGACGTGGTGGTCGTCGGCGTCGTCCTCCCCTTCGTCTTCTTCCCCCTCCCTCTTGCTTTGTTCCTCCCTCGCGTTGCGCCCCTTCCCGCCCCTTCTCTCGCCAGGTCGCCCAGGCAATGTCGGCCAACAGTATCCAGCGGTCCGCAGTCAGACGTTCCAGCGCGTGTGGTCAGTGAGCACTTGCTGCGACACGACGGCTCCCGTTCCCCTTTCCTCCTCCCCATCCCTCCTTCCGCCTTCCTCCCCGAACGCCGCCTGATTACCTCCCTCCTCCCTTGCTTCGTTCCTCGCACGTCACTCCTTTCCCCATCCTCTTCCTTCCTCCTTCCTCCTCCTCCTCCTCCTCTTTTTCCTGCGGGGGGGCATGGGTGAGAGGGGGAGGAGGGAGGGGCGCCGGGGGGGACGGAAGGCAGGAGGGTGAGTGGGAGGGAGGAGGTGTGATGGGAGGGGGGGGGAAGTAGTAAAGTGAGGAGCACGTGAACTTCATGGGAGGGAGAGGAAAGGGAATGGGGGAACAAGAGGGGCAAGGCATGGGTGGAGCAAGGCGCAATAGAGCAGGTGGGGGGACATTGCACGGGGGAGGAGGAGGAGGAGGAGGAGGAGGAGGAGGAGGAGGAGGACGAGGACGAGGACGAGGACGAGGAGGACGAGGAGGAGGACAAAGAGGAGGAGGAGAAGGAGGAGGAGGAGGGGGGAGGGAGAGGGAGGGGAGGACAAAGAGTAAGGAGGAGGAGGAGGAGGAGGAGGAGAGGAGGAGGAGGAGGAGTAGGAGTAGGAGTAGGAGTAGTAGAGGAGGAGGAGGGGGAGGAGGAGGAGGAGGAGGGAGGAGAGGAGGAGGAGGAGGAGGAGGAGGAGGATGACAAAGTTGAGGAGGAGGAGGAGGAGGAGGAGGAGGAGGAGGATGGACAAGTTGAGGAGGAGGAGGAGGGAGGAGGGAGGAGGAGGAGGAGGAGGAGGAGAGGTTGCAGCGGGGCGGGCGTTGGCCGTGCCGCTTATGCGCCCCGCCCGCAGGACGGCAGCTGCTCGAGCAGCGGGGACGAGGGCGAGAGCCCCTGCTGCCGCATCTGCCACACGACCGAGGAGGAGCCGCGCGGTGCGGGCCGGTAGCCTGGCGGCGGAGCATCCCCACTCCCGTTCGGGGGCTGCGTGCTGGGGGAGGCGATGAGGTCCCTTGCCCTCGATCCTCTTTCTCCTCCTCCTCCTCCTCCTCCTCCTTCTCCTCGACCTCGCTCGCCCTCGGGGAGGCGTTGATCGACGACGAAAAAACACAAACATGAACTTTTAGCGCTCCGCGCGGATTTCTTGGATCCGCGCCTGGGCCCCTCCGGGCGGCGCCTCCAGCGCCGCCCCTGGCGCGCTCCGCGCGCCAGGGAGGGGGGTCTGGCGCAGATCCAAGAATTCCGCGCGGAGGGCCAACAGTTTATGCTAATGTCCTTGTGTCTTTTTCTGATTGGGGGAGGCGATGAGGGGGAATACCTTGTGCCCTAAAGGGGCCCGAGAAGGGCCCGCTGGGGCCCGAAAGGGGCACGACAGGTACGCGCCCTTTCTGTGTCTCGCCACCCATGATGTGGAACGCCTGGCCCGTGTGGCCGACTCCGGAGACGCGGACCCCAAAAAGGACGGCATGACCTCTCATCGCTGCATCCGCTGGCGGAGCCGTTACCGACTTCATTTGAGGGCGGGCGCGTTCCCTCGACAGGAGGCATACTCAAAAATTGTAAATCAAATAGTACGGGGACGATGTTGAATGTTTTCGATTCTGATTCGTGGCTATTACTCGTGACTGTAAGTCGTTGTTCTCTATTGCTCGTGACTGCTACTCGTGACTGTCAAGCGTGACTGCGACTCTTGACTATTACTCGCTTGCATTTTTTTGCTTCGACTATTACTTGTGTTTTTTTTGTTGTTTCGAAAATCCGCCCACAGGAGGACATGCCCGGAGGACATGCCCGACCTAAATTTCATGGCGCCTGCCTTCCAGGCCCGACCGCCGACCATCCGAGGAGCGAGCCCGGCCGCCAGGGGCCTCCTGGGCGCGGGGACCCCCCTCGCCCGCAGCGCCGCAGATCCCCAGGCCCGCAGCTGCACGGCGCCCGCCTCCGCACAGGCAGGCTTCGCCTCGTCTCTCGAATGGGAATGGGGCTCGTATTCCAATCAGTCAGGGCGTGGATGCTGTATGGCAGCGTAATTGAATTCGGTGACGCAGGGGGGAGCCTCGGGAAGCGATGTCTTTTCTGTTTAACCGCCTCTTGCCCTGAAATCAGGTTCCCTGGAGACAGTCCACGGATGGCGAGCGCAGCCGACGTCGGCGCCCGTCCTTCGGCGGCGAGCTCTGGAGCGCGGCGGATGGGCGTGCGCCCGAGCATACTCACCACCGCCACGGCCCTCCCCCCTCCCTCCCCCAGGAGAGAGGAGAGGAAGAGGAGGGCAGCGGGGGGGGGGAGGCATCGACGTGGTGGTGGTGCCTACTCCTGGGGCCCGCAGCGGAGGAGCGTGCCTGACAAAAGGGCCTCGCCTGCGGGGCGGCTCGCCCTCGGCGCCGACGAGAGGCGGGAGAGAGGCCCCGCGGAGGCGGGACCGGGGCGTGCCGCTCCGCCCACGAGGGAGCTGTCGGCGGCGAGCTCCGGACCCCGCCCTCGCTGGTGCACGAGGTCGGCAGCTCGACGGGCGGCGGGGGTGCGGTGGGGGAGGAGGAGGAGGAGGAGGAGGAGGAGGAGGAGGAGGAGGAGGAGGAGGAGGAGGATGAGGAGGAGGAGGAGGAGGAGGAGGAGGAGGAGGAGGAGGAGAGGAGGAGGAGGAGGAGGAGGAGGAGAGGAGGAGGAGGGGGGGGAGGAGGAGGAGGAGGAGGAGGAGAGGAGGAGGAGGAGGAGGAGGAGGGGAGGAGGAGGAGGAGGAGGAGGAGGAGGAGGAGGAGGAGGAGGAGGAGGCAGGAGGAGGAGGAGGAGGTAGGTGGGGGCATTGGATAAGGAGCCCTCAGATAAGGAATCCAGGGTCTGGAGGCCGGTGAAACTCCAATCGAGGCTTAGCTATGGATATAGCCGCTGCCCTCATCAGATGAGGAATCCTTCAGGGTCTGCAGCCTCCTGGGCGCATTCCTCAACCAACGCCCCCACCGTAGGGCTCGGAGTTCGTCGAACGCGTGGCGAGCTCCGAAGCCTGCTCCCGCCTCCCGTCGATTCAGGAGAGTCGATGGTGGGGGGTGGGGTAGGGTTTGCAAGGACGCCCTCCAGGGCACGAAGTTATATTCGCTCTTCGCGGTTCGGCTCCGATTCCTCCTCATCCTCCTCTTCTCCCCTGGGAGACGGCGCGAGAGCGCGAAGTTGTTCACACTTCGCGCAGCGCGAAGCGCGAAGTTGGGAGCTCTTGGGTTCGGATGTCGCCACCTGAGCCAGCGGATGGCGACGGAAGTGCAAGCGGGACGTCGACATGTTAGGGGCTCTGGTGTCGGCCACACAGGAGGGATGGACGGGGGGAAGGGGGAGGGGCCCTGATGTCCGTGCCTCGCAGCTTTTCCACGCTGGGCGTGTTCGGCCTGTTTGAGGTGTTTGGGCCTTCGCGGCTCCGATTTGGCTCGAGAAGTGCGGCAGCACTGTTGGGTCCAAGGCTCCGAGCGCTTCAAGATGTTGCGTTCTCGTCGCTACGTTCGATCTCAGGGGGTGATTGTGATTATGAGGGGGTGGAGGGGGACGACGAGGAGGAGGAGGAGGAGGAGGAGGAGGAAAAGAAGGAGAAGGATCGAGGTACTGGGAGGAGGGGGGGAGGAGGGAGGGAGGAAGATGATCGAGGATAGAGGATCGAGTTGTTCGGGGCGTCTTCCGACCTCCCTCGGCCTCTGGACGCGTCTGGAGAGCCTCCGGGGACTCCGGGGATCCTCGGACGCCCCCTCGTCCCTCCGACGACATTCGGCGCTGCGATCTGGTTCCGCGCGTGGGCCTCCGATCTGTCGATGGGCAGCCGGCGGTGGTGAGGAGGCGAGCCCCTTCCCCCTCGACGCTCCGCCTCGCCACCCCTCCCTCGCAGGGGCAATGATAGGGGGTGATAGGCATAGGGCATAGGGGGGGATTCATCGACCCCCAATCGCTCATTGATCGCCGATGGGGGCCCGATGGCCCCCAACCTGCCCGGGAAGGTGCGGATTCACGATCGGAGGCCTATCGCCGATGTATCGGCGCTGTATTGCCGATTCCAGGTCGATGCGCCCCGCCTATGCCAGTCCCCCCCTGTCGTTGACCCCCCATCCCTTCTTCCCCTCCGCCTCGCCCCCTCGCCCTCCTCGCCCTGCCGCTTCCCCTCCGCTGCCTCTCCCCTCGCCCCCCTCTTATGCCGCTCCCCCCCTGCTCTGCCTCTTCCCCTCCCCCATTCGCCTCACCCTCCCCCTCGTCTCCTCCCCCTCCCTCACCCTTCCCTGGCAGGAGGACGAGGGCGACGCAGTGAGAATGATGACGATGATGATAATGATGATGCTCAGGCTGATGATGATGATGATGATGATGATGATGATGATGATGATGCTGATGGTGAGGATAAGGATGAGGATGAGGATGAGGATGATGATGATGCTGATTGTACTGATGCTGATGCTGATGACGATGATGATGATGATGCTGATGATGATGATGATGCTGAGGCTGGTGATGATGCTGATGGTGAGGATAAGGACAACGCAGAGAGAATGATGACGATGATGATGCTGATGATGATGATGATGATGATGATGCTGAGGCTGGTGATGATGCTGATGGTGAGGATAAGGATGAGGATGAGTATGATGATGCTGATGATGATGATGCTGATGATACTGATGCTGATGATGATGAGGATGACGATGATGATGGTGCTGTTGGTGATGATGTGATGATGGTGATGATGCTGCAGATGATGATGCTGCTGCAGATGATGAGGGTGAGGATGAGGATGAGGATGAGGACGATGATGCCGAATATGATGATACTGATGCTGATGATGATGACGGTGATGATGTTGCTGTTGGTGCTGATGGTGGTGATGCTGTAGCAGATGATGATGATGATGATGATGATGATGATGATGATGATGATGATGATGATGATGACGCTGGTGATGATTCCAGTGGTGCTGATGCTTGTGCTGGTGCTGGTGCTGGTGCTGATGATGATGCTGAGGACGATGAGGATGAGGAATCGGATGAGGACGATGATGATGATGATACTGATGATAACGGTGAGCATGACGACGACGACGACGATGGTAATGATGCTGATGCTGACGATGGTGATGACGATGATGATCATGATTGTGATGACGATGGTGATGATGAGCATGATTCTGGTGATGATGGTGGTGAGTATGCTTATGCTGATGGTGGCGATGATGATGGCAACGATGGTGATAATGGTGATGGTGATCGTGAAGGTGATGCTGCTGCGGATGATGTTGATGACGCTGATGATGCCTATGAGCTTGATGGTGTCTGTACTGATGATGGTGAAGACGCTGATAATGCTGTTGATATTGCTGGTTATTATGATGCTGAGGATGATGCCGATGGTGTTGGTGATGGTGATGGTGATGGTGGTGGTTGCGATGATGGCACGTATGATGGCTTTGCTCGTGAGTATGATGATTGTGATGAGGATGACGATGATGATGGTGCTGTTGATGATGATGTGATGATGGTGATGATGCTGCTGATGATGATGCTGCTGCAGATGATGAGAATGAGGATGAGGATGAGGATGAGAATGAGGCCGCTGATGCTGATGATGATGATACTGATGCTGATGATGATGACGGTGATGATGTTGCTGTTGGTGCTGATGGTGGTGATGCTGTAGCAGATGATGATGATGATGATGCTGCGGGTGATGATTACAGTAGTGTTGATGCTGGTGCTGGTGCTGGTGCTGATGAGGATGCTGAGGACGATGAGGATGAGGAATCGGATGAGGACGATGATGATGATGATACTGATGATAACGATGAGCATGACGACGACGAAGACGATGGTAATGATGCTGATGCTGACGATGGTGATGACGATGATGATCATGATTGTGATGATGATGGTGATGATGAGCATGATGCTGGTGATGATGGTGGTGAGTATGATTATGCTGATGGTGGCGATGCTGATGGCAACGATGGTGATGCTGGTGATGGTGATCGTGAAGGTGATGCTGCTGCGGATGATGTTGATGACGCTGGGGATGCCTATGAGCTTGATGGTGTCTGTACTGATGATGGTGAAGACGCTGATAATGCTGTTGATAATGCTGGTGATTATGAGGCTGAGGATGATGCCGATGGTGTTGGTGATGGTGATGGTGATGGTGGTGGTTGCGATGATGACACTTATGATGGCTTTGCTCGTGAGTATGATGACTGTGATGAGGAGGACTATGCTGATGATGCTGACGACAACGACGTCGATGATGAGGATGTTGATGATACGGATGGTGCTGCTGCTGATGATGATGGTGTGATAGTGAGGCTGGTGATGACGACGACGGTGATGATGATGATGCTTGTGATGATGAGGAGCATGCTGTCGATGACGATGATGCTGATGCTGATGCTGTTGATGCTGGTGGTGAAGATGAATATGTTGATGATGGCGATGACGATGACGATGATGATGATGATGCTGATGATGATGATGATGATGATGGTGCTGCTGCTGATGATGATGATGATGATGGCGATGTTTACGAATATCATGGCGGTGGTGGTGATGATGGCGATGCTGATGCTGATGCTGCTGATGATGATGATGCTGGTGGTGAGGATAAGGATGAGGATGCGGATGATGATGATGATGATGATGATGATGCTGATGCTGATGCTGATGCTGATGCTGATGCTGATGCTGCTGCTGATTGAGATGGTGATGATGATTATGATGATGATGGTGATGATGATGATGATGATGCAGATGATGATGTTGATGATGATCATGAGGAGGAGGCGGAAGACAACCGACGGGCCGTCCTCAGGCTGCTAGCGAGCGAGCGAGGAGGACGACGACGGCGCTGGACGCCCCGAAGCCGCCCTCGAAGCCCGCGACGGCTGCTTGCGGACGACGACGGCGATGGCCCCGCCGCGCCCCGCTCTCCGCCACAGGAGAGCGAGGCGCCGCTGGTGCGGCCCTGCAGGTGCTCGGGCAGCATCGCCCTCGCGCACTCCGACTGCCTCCTTGCCTGGATGCGGCGCGCGGCGCCGTCGTCGTCCTGGTCGTCCTCGCCCCTTTTTTTGCCCGTCCGCGCGCTCGCTTCCTCGCCCTCCCTCCTCGCCCTGGCCTCCCGATGCTCCTCCTCCTCCCTGCCGTTCCTGCCCTTCCTCCCGCTCCTGCTTCTGCTCGTGATTCCGCGTTCTTTTCATGCCTCTCCCTCCTCCTCAACCTCCTCCTTCTCCTCCTGCTTCTTCTTGTGCCCATCACATCATTCTGCCTTATGCGTCCTTCCTTCTCCCCGTCACGGGGAAGAGCAGGAGCAGGAGTAGGATGAGGGGGGTCAAAGGGAGAAGAAGCAGGATACTTGAAGAAGGAGGAGGAGGATATCGAGGGAGGAGGGTGGCGAGGAGCCAAGGGAGGAGGAGGATGACGTGGATACATCCAGGATGATGAGGAGGACAAGTTGCTATCCATCCCCAGGAGCTGGGTTTGGAGGGAGGCTGAGGAGGAGGAGCAGGAGGAGGAGGAGGAGGAGGTGGAGGAGCGGGAGGAGGAGCAGGAGTTGCAGGATGCGGCGGAGGAGGCGGCAGAGGAGTAGGAGGAGGAGGAGGAAGAAGAAGAGGAGGAGGAGGAGCAGGAGGAAGAGGCGGGGGAGGAGCAGGAGGGAGTGAAAGAGGAGGAGGAGGAGGAGAAGGAGGCGGCGGAGAAGCAGGAGGGAGTGCAGGAGGAGGACGACGACGTTGACCACGGAGGCGACGGCGGCGGCGGCGACGACACCGAGGCACACGCCGCCGAAGTTCAGCGAGGGCGGCGAGTTCCGCTGCGACCTGTGCGGCGCGCCCCTCCACGTCCGGCTGGGGCGCAGCGAGCCCGTGGGGCTGAGATACCTCAACAGGTAGCCGTGGGGGAGACGCGTGCACTCAGGAGGGGAAACACACATAGACAAAATTAATCGTCGATTCCCCAGAAAATATGGGAACATGTGGGAAGTGGAAGGGGGAAGACAGAAGCCCAGAAAGTAATGGAGAAGATTGGGAATCCTATTATTTGTGTGTGTATTTATTTGTGTATCCCAGGGCTCCTTCGTGCACGCTCGATTCAAAGACAAAACGACGCCATAAACATAAACGTTTGGCGCTCCGCGCGGATTTCTTGGATCCGCGCTGGCCCCCCCCCCCGGCGGCACCTCCTGCGCCGCCCCTGGCGCGCTTCTCGCGCCAGGGAGGGGAGTCCAGCGCAGATCCAAGAAATCCGCGCGGAGCGCCAAAAGTTTAATGTTTATAGCGTTATGTTTCTTCTTGTATTGACTGCCCAAGAGAGCAGCACCGTTGCAGCGTCCGCCCACGAGGCAATGTGCGATTTCCGTCGCAGCGGCGAGCAGCTCAACCTACACCATCTGTCGGTTGCAGGGCTCCGGTGTCGTGTGCGAGGTGGGCCACACACTCCCACCCGTGGTAGCCATCACGACCGTGATAACACGTTTTCCTTATTTGCTCTCATGCCGTCGTAAAAAGAATCGGGTCCTGAGTTTTGTTCGTCGTTCTTGGCTCCCTTGGATCCTCCACGGGCCCCGGGACTGTCAGAAAACGGCCCACGGGTCCTGGGGGAAGGCGCCCCAGGGTCCAGGACCCGCTTCCCTCAGGACCCGCTTCCCCCCTGCTAGACAAGCCCCCTTTTGGTCAGAGGAGCAAGAGATCATGAGAATGACGTGTCTGAAGATTTCCCAAACCATACTTGCAGGATGTCTTGTTTCCCCGCACGCGGCTCCAGAAACGAGGGCCGCTAGATGCTCTGGAATTCCTGAATCGTATCCTGAGCCAATTGCATCGCGGTGTCATTCTCGTCCCACTCCGTGTCGATGCCGGCGTCGACTCGCCAAAGGGTTCTTGGGGGGGGGGGTCTGGATGTTACCAGCGCTTCGGCTGGACGAAGCTCGAAAAATTCTAGACGCTTCGCGTATCCCCACCAGCCCATCCAGAAACGATGTCCAGGCGAGTTGAGAGGTGATCAGGGAAGTGCGGGAGCAAAGAGGGGGACGGCCGAACCGTGTGAAGGAGAGAGGGGGAGAAGGAGGAAATTGGATGGATGGATGAGGGAGTAGGGAGAGGGAGGATGAAGAGGATGAGGATGAGGAGGAGGAGGAGGAGGGGGAGGAGGAGGGGAGGAGGAGGATGAGAAGGGATAGGAGGAGGGAGGAGGAGGAGGAGGAGGAGGAGAGCAAGCAAAAGGGCCAGAGGTCTCTTGGATGCTTCTCGGAGCCTCTTGGGGTATCTCTTGGGCGTCTTGGGACGTCTTGGAGGTCTCTTGGCAGTCGTGGGGGGCTCTTCGGCGTCTTGGGTGCCTCGTGGGGGCATCTTGGGGCCGCTTGGGATCCTTTTGGGGGCCTCCTGGGGGTCTTTTGGGGGCCTCTTGGGGCCATCTTGGGGCCATCTTGGGACCTCTTGGGGCCTCCTGGGCGCTTCTTAGGGCCATCTTGGAGGAGATCGATCAAACAAGAGGGGAGCA